AATGAGTAATCACTTTAGAAAGCGTGTAGTTTAGAAACTTAATTAATTTTAAACATAAAACTACACAGATTTGATCTTGATTGATTTGTGCCAAAAATCTATTTAGCTAGGACGTTTTCCAAACCACTCTTTTATGGCAACAGTGGTGGTTCTCTTTACACCGTGTAACGTGCATGGTAGATGAGATGGAAGTAGTCTAGCAGCTAGCTTAGCCTTTAGATCGGATGCTTAATAGATAAGGTTAGGTATTCTAGAGTCCACCAGTGACAATATCACTGATTATAATGCGGGTAGATGAAATCCAGCGTTCTGATTGGTGGAGAGTGAGTCACGGGGTGTACATTATTGTGCGATAATAATAATGGTCTTCATTTTGACCCGAGCGTTCCAAATCACTGCGCACTCAAAGTAACCGAAAAAGGACCGGAAACACCACAAATGATATGTTTTGGGCAATACGAGCTTTTGCAAGCGGACAATTAAGGTGGACATCATGAGCGATGTGAATGAATGAGATGGCGCAAGGAGACCCAATACTGTTTACATGCACGTACAGGGCCTAGCAGTAACTTTTGTTTTCCATGTTCATCAGATTGGTCTCAGTGATGTACATCAGAACAATTTTATAAGGTTTTTTTGACAGAAAGAAGCTGACCTTACAAACACGCACGCATACATGCTAACGTTTGAGATCACGTTTGACTTAATGCTTGAAACAAATAAATCAAGTGAAAAAAATATGAATTTCATATAATGCAATCATTATCAACATGTATAATAACTTGCCATCTACTGTAGGTTCACTTGTACTGTATACTTACTACGACATAAAAATGTGGAAATATTTGTGTTGTTGCCATAAATGAATATGGACCATGTTTTCTGAGAGTGTTATTTACGATTTCCCTAGAAGATTAGTGGACCAACATACATCAAACTGTATACTGATAAGTGTATGTGCAGAACTGCACATGGACTACACTTTTCTTCAGGATACGAGTGACTTATCCGAAGATTTGTATGGATGTTTCAACATCAGTCTGTGTGCTGACACAATTTTAAATGTATTTCATTGTCATTTCAAACAGCATTGGTTGTTGACACCATTGTAAAGAGGTCTCAATTTCTGAGTGATTGACAAGTGGAAATATAAAAGCATATAATTGTGTATCAAGAAAAGGCCATTTTTGTGGAGGAAGCTGCAGTCTGATTTCCTTTCAGCACAGATGTTAATGTCTTTGGTTTTTGCTAAGCAGCACGCTCTTCATCCTCAATTCTTCTCCGCTCTGCTCAGCCACAACACACTCTCGGTCCTGTGAGACAGTCAGGCAATCACAAGATGTTTACCAGCCATTAGGAGTTTCTGCTTGCCTCGACGACAGTGGGCAATCAACAACTTCTGGAAACACATCCTTAATGTTTTTTTTCTCCATTTTGACATTAATTAGTTAGAAATATAATGGGGGGAGCGAAAGAGGGAAGAGATTGCTCCAACAGGGAGTTAAAAGGTAGACTGCGAGACTTATCTCCAGTGCCTAAATGTCCATCATGGGTCTCTAAGTGGGCGTTGTAAACACCACAAATACTGCACCAACTGACAGCTAATATTAACACTGTATCTGCTGGCAGGGCAAGCCAGGTTCTGGGTTTACTTAGCCAACTAATGAATGTTTATATTCAGGAAAACATTCATATACTGTCAATCCACAAAAATATTGCAACTGCCTGGACAACAGATGGCAGTTTATTAAATTTCAATCAAGAAAATATTAGAGGTTAGTTAGATGATTTACCATGGAAAATGGATGATTGAGCCATCATAGCACAATACTCTTATTGCATTGATATTGTCAAGGGGTGCGTGGGGAGGCAGGACTCAAATACAGATACGTTTACCCGGGTAAACGAGTGGCAGAAAACTACAAAATAAGACAGGAAGTGAACCACACCGTGACAGTACCCCCCCCCCTCAAGGGCCGAATCCCAGACGGCCCTAAACTAGCACAGAACAGACAAGGGACGGGGGGGAGGGAATCCAGAGACGCTGGTCGGACCGCCCGGAAAACTCTGGCGGGCGGCCCGGCGGGCGGCCAGGCGACCGGACGATCATTTGGCCGGCCCGGCGGACAGACAAACGGCCGGGGAGCCTCCGGGGGTCGGCCCGGCGGACGGTCATTTGGCCGGCTCCGGGGCGGCGACTGCAGGGCACGGAACGTCTCTGGAATAGCTGGCTCGGGGACACGGGAAACCTCCGGGGCTGTCGGCAGCTCGGGGACACGGAACACCTCCGCAGTAGTCAGCGGTTCGGGGACACGGAACACCTCCGCAGTCGTCGCCGGCTCGGGGACGCGGGAAGACGGAGTTGCCAGCTGGAGGGAGCGGGAAGCCCCCGGAGTCACTGTCGCAACGCCTGCCAGGACCCCCTGAAGGGCCGGATCCCAGACGGCCCTCAACTCACCAACGGGAGGGTGGGAGAGGACCACGGGATGGGAGGGAGGGAACCTGAGTCGGGGAGCGGGGACCGGAGGCGTCGGAGTCATGAGTCTCGGGGCCGGGACTGGAGGGGTCGGGGCCTGGAGTCTCGGGGCCGGCACCGGTGGTGTCGGGGTCATGAGTCTCGGAGCGGGGACTGGAGGCGCCGGGGTCATGAGTCTCGGAGCGGGGACTGGAGGAGTCGGGGTCATGATTCTCGGAGTGGCGACTGGGGGCGTCGGGGTCATGAGTCTCGGAGCCGGTACTGGCCGAGTCGGGGTCGGGGCTGAGAGTCTCGGGGCCGGTGCTGGTACTGGCCGAGTCGGGGCTGAGAGTCTCGGGACCGGTACTGGCCGAGTCGGGGCGGGGCTGAGAGTCTCGGGGCCGGTACTGGCGGGATTGGGGCCTGGAGTGTCTGGGCCGGTACCGGGGTCGGAGGAGCTAGTCGAAGAGCGGGAACGGGAGAGCGCTGCGGCGGCCCAGCGGAAACGGGAGCTTCCTCTTGCCAGGGCTCCTCCTGGGATTTAGGAGATCCCGGAGCTCGTGGCAGGCCCTCTGATAGCTCCTGGGATCGAAAATAAAGTTGGTTTTCCGCTGCCACAAGGGACTTCTTACGTCCAGGTAATCAGGTCCGTAATCTGGCAACGGGTCTGCTGAGCCCTTCTTGGTGGCGTCATTCTGTCACGGGGGGCGTGGAGAGGCAGGACTCAAATGCAGAGTTCGAGGAACAAAAAGACTTTAATAGTCATAAACTCCAAAAAAGGCCAACGGGCAAAAACACATACAAGTACCGGGGGAGGCTGGCAGGAACGAGGAACATCAAGGACAAAAGGCAATGACGCGACAAGTGACGAGACACACACTGCTTAAATACACTAGGGAGGTGCAGGTGATTTGACACAGGTGGAAACAATCAGACGATCACAGGGGATGACAGGACAAGGCAGGAAGTGAAGTTACCCGGGGACACGAGTGGCAGAAAACTACAAAATAAGACAGGAAGTGAACCACACTGTGACAGATATGTCTTCTAGGAGGTGTCCCTTCTTCTGTTTGTCAAGTCCGGTAGTATTTCAACTTTTCAATTTGAATATCAGACATAACTGGATAGCTCGAAGGTGTGTTATGGTCGTAACAATTATGGCGAAATTTCCTCCAGTGAACCAGCCAACTAATACTGCTGCAAATTGACGAAAGAATTGCATTTACACATTTAAATAAAGCACTGCTTCCACTTCCATGCTGTGCTACAATCCCGTTAATTGATTGTATAAAAAAATAGTACTCCAAATAAGGTTTTTGTTTTGCTCAAATTGCATGTCAGTTTGCGCTCTGTTGTACGGAATATTACGGCTCTATTCTGGGCAGTTGCCGCAACTGCCCCCCTAAAAACAAGCCAATACAATTTTTGGATTAGGCAAACACACATTTTAAACATTAATATTGCAGTGGATCATGTTAGTTCAATTGATGGATGCACAAATTTGATAAATATTTGATTAACTCAACTCTGCAGCACTTTGAGCCTCAGGCATCATCATCTGAAAGGAAAACAAACCAGTAGGTCAACCATTTTGCAACTATTGGCCCCTTATAGTGGAGTAGTTGGTGAAAGTAATCAAATACTTATGAACTGGCTGGAATGAAAATATTTCTGAATCATAAAACAATAATCCAAATGGCCATGGAGTACACCCTACAATATTTATTTTGATTTTTTCAAAAAATACCCTTGTGAAAGACTTTCTTTTGTGCCCGGGGGGAATATATATATAATATTTTATATTTTTTAAATAATTGTCTTAATTGTTTGAAACAGAAAGTTGCAATCATAAAGGTTATGAACGGATAACTAATATCCATAGTGGTATATTTAACATTTACATTTAGATTAAATATTTATATTATTTAACAACTTTGTTACTGCCGAACATTATCCTTAGAAAAGTTATTGCATGAATTTCTCTCAAAATGTTTGAAAAAGTGACCCATGAATATTGTCGTGCTTTTTTCCATATGATAATGCTAAATGTACCAAAACTGCGCAAGATTTTAGAACGTGCATAAAGAAAAAATATCCAATGAATAGCCCCAAACCTGAAGCACTCCGAATATCATAGACATGCGTTGAATTATTATTCCCATGATCTACTGGCATTGACAATTAACAGTGGTTACCTCCACATTGTTGTTATATGTATAATCTATAGAGTGATTGAATAAGAATAGAATAAAGCTTCTGCAGAGGTGGAGAGAGACCGCATCGCAGAGTAATGAAAGACCTCCTGCTGCGGCGTCTACATAATTAATGCACCAGAGCCCTTAAAAGATACATTGTTCAGATTAAAAGACACAGTGGTGTCATTTGCAAAACTGGAGTTAACAGTTGCCGATAATGTAGTGAACACCAAAATAAGCTCAGTCCAAGCTCAAGACTTGGGGATTCAAAAATCTACAGGTTTGCCTTGTTCCTGGATGGATGCCACGTTGGGCAATGCAAGCCAAAAAAATGCCACCAATACACAATCTTAATATACAACATTTTATTATTGTTAAGTCTTAAATATGAGCACACACTTTTCATCAACAAAATACATATGAACCAACAATCCTTTACAATGCAAAGAGTCAAATAGCTTTGGAACCCCCTCAATCTGAAGGGAGCCCTGTGAACTTGTGACCAAATCCTCTATTGGTGAATTATTCAAAATAAACCCCAACAGATCATGAAACTACTCCATGCATCTGCCATGATACTCCCACAATAGCTGGAGCAAATGTTGGATTTCTCATGTCCAACCAAAGTTCACATCCAAAAATCATCTCTTTCAGACTGCAATGCAAATCACACCAATGTCACAAAACACCTTAAATGAATAGTAATATCCGATCAGTTTCCTTAACTGGTATCAAATATTCTTAAGAGAGAATGGGATCTTGCCCTGGCCATATGGAGGCAAAAAAGAACTAAACCCATGGCCTCCTTCCTTCTCAGTCCAAGCAAACGGGATCTTGGTTGGAGCATGGGAGAGAGAGAGAGAATGAGTCCTGCAATCCTGGAGTCTTCCAACTGAAAATGGAATTGGTCAAATCACCATAAGTATGCAGCGCTACTGCCAAAATATCAGACTTCATGGGCTGGATAGGTTAAGTTTAGGCCTTCTTAGTGCAGTTTCCTTGCATCAGAAATACTGTAAGTCCAAAATTGTCTTCCTTTACAATCATAATAATTCTGGTTTGAACAGGTGTGTACATCTTTTTCAATGCTTGGTGGGGCTTTGGCGTGTTTGCTTGAATAAGAAAGCACAGACTTTGTTATTGCCACGCAGGAAGAAACTGCAGTACACCTGCTGAAAAAGAGAGATGGTAAAGTGTCCCCAATCATGACAGTTGAATGTCAACAGCTGCTGCTTTACGTTTGCCTTACTGTAATGCAGCTAGAAAAATCAATGTTCTTTCTCTTTTTTTTCATCAGGGTGTTAAAAGCATCCCACTGGGTGTGACTTCTAGAATAGAGGAGGAGTCCCGCTAACAGAACAACAGGTAAGAGAGCTTTCAGAAAGCAACCAAGAGCTTATTAGTTTTCTCAGCTATATGAGCCATGACATTGCTAATAGCTATGACACGCAACACAAAACATCCTACTGTCTCACAAACTGAAATGTGATTGTGTTTTGTGTTTGTCGAACTGCTCTGCAAGCCCATCTCATCTAACCTTGAGGCTGCCTTGCCCATAATGCAGCGAGGAACTGGCGCAAATTACTGCAAAAGGCCTCAGGTCATAAAGTAATCCAAATGAAGATTTTAAAGAGGCAGCCTGCATAGGTTTTCTCCACACGCCTTCTGTTGTTACATGTTTGGCACAGCAGGGATTTGAGAACAAGGAAATGAAGATGGTACTTCTGTTAGCTGCGTGTGGCCAAGGCCAAAACTTTAGAAATAGGATCGAGCGGGATACCCAGCCGGGATCTGACAGTACAGACTGTTTTCCATCTTCTCTGAAAAGGGAGAATACCTCATCCTTAGATCAGAGCTCAGACTGCTCTTTGGCTCGATGTGGCTTCCTCAACTCATCAAACTCTCATAAACAATATGCCTGTTTGACATTGAGATGATCATCTTAAGTCTGAATATTTTTATGTGCCGTTTTGGTTGGTAGTGTGCGATTCTCAATACAGCGCCAAATCTGAATCGCTCCAATAGTAACCATATGGAATTGCTATTATTAGGTGGATTATTAGATGAAGCCAGCTAAATAGCAATCTCCTTAACCACTGGTTACGTGTGTAGAAAACACCACCATCATTTTTCATTTCATCTAGAGATATTTCTCAGCAGCCCTCCTGGGTATATGAATCTGCTCTAAAGGTACACGCTGACAAGGTTTGTTCTCGGTGATAGTGTGCTTTGCTTGAGAACTTAAACTGTAATTTGATATGACATGAAAAAACATTGATATTTATTATTCATCGTGGCGCAGGGGTAGAGAGGGTGCGCTGCGAACCCCAAGGTTGGAGGTTTAAGTCCCGGCTGCCCCATGTGGAAGTGTCCCTGAGCAAGACACCTAACCCCTAATTGCTCCCTGGCAAAAAAGTAAAAAGCCATGGGTTAAAAATATAATGTAAGTTGCTTTGGATAAAAGCATCAGCTAAATGATCTGTAATGTAATTAAGAACAAAGCAATGGAAGGCAGCTGTCAGCCAAGTGCTGTGAGGCTCCTGGAGAAACTGTTCGCACATCAATGCACACCCGTGACCACAGGTAAATATTACTTCATGATCGCTGCAATGATAAATAATTAAGCAACTTGCTGCACAATTGCTCAGAGGTAGTAAAAAGATAAAAGTCCATGACCAGTTTTGTGTGCTTGCCTGACCTATAAGATAAATAAACAAGAGTCTGTATTACATCAGTAAAATGTGTGTTTATGAAGAGATGTCGCAAGGCAAATAATAAAAGGGAGGGCCACATTTGGCTCTCTTTCCAACCTTTTAAGGGAACTCAAAGCACTGGGGCTGTGATTGTTTATGCATATTGTGGCATTACAGACGTGGGATCAGTGGTGCCATCCTTTCTAGCCAGAAGGAATAATTACCATGTAATTTTCAAACATCACTGTGCTAGAGATGAATAATAGTCTCTTCGTCTCATTGTATTGTGTGTGATAACAAAGTGTGATTAGCCCGTCAGATTCAGCTCCTGATTACTCGGATCCATTTCAATAAAGCTGCTATCTGTTTCACAAACCTTGTTTTCCCTACGGGCCAAATGATGCTAGGGGAGTTAAAAAGATACTTGAAGTAGGTGCAGATAGACGAAGGACTACAACATCACCAGAGCTGTGTTAAGCCAGGAGAAAAACGAAAGGGGAGCCGAGGGATAAGAAGCGCGCCGTTGCCCCGCCACTAAACAGACACACACTAATTTGATGTAATTTGCTATTCCCATTTTACGTTGTGTTAATGGAATCCTGCAAATCCTGTGGGACTGCACATAGTTAAATGACGTGCAGTGCAGCCCGTAGAAGGTTCAGTTTGTAAGTTCACAATTCCAACCGACAATGCATCTTGAAATAGACGCATGATGTTTAAAACCTGAGTGTGGCAGCTGGTGTATATTGTTTGCCCACACAACAGAACTTAAAAAGACAAAACATCTTTTTAGAATTCTTACCGGTGTGTTAGAGGTTTGTGATTGTTGCATAAAATCCTCATGCTCACAAATGAAATAAAGTAGCGAAGATTCATACTCAGTTTGCTGCTGATCTTCTGTGTGTTCGATTCTCCACCATGATAAGACACACACATGATTTCTTTGTTTTGTTGTCTGACAATACTGGCCACAAGTGAAGCAATAAGAGCAGATGTAGTGTTTTTTTGTTACCCGGACCTCTCACCACGTTGGTTATTGCAATCAGCTCGCATTCTATACAGTAAGCCTGCAATTCTTTTCAATAAAAGCTGGAAAGTCATGTTCAGAATGAGCATTTCAGTCATAAATCACACACTGTACATTTTGGTATGAAGTGGTGTGTATTTGTTGAACTCATATTAAAATATGTCTACCCTCTTTGTAAAAAGATAATAGTATCGGAAAGGTGTCCATGGGTTTTTTTGAGTGTCGAGACTAGGAAAGAGATACCCAGTGAAGTGTTGCTGTGTGGGCTACTATTTTCGGTTAATGGTCTCTAAATATATGCAAAGGGTATTTTTGATTTTGATTTTAACAATTTTATTAACATGATGTGACTAAGTGGCCTCTGGCCCTCCAGGGTTGGAGGGCCAGAGGGCCAACTGTTGTGTGGGAATGGCCTGGTGTTCAAACAGGAAGCAATAGCATTAATACATTTGCATTATTTAAGTCAGAGGTCGACGCCACACAAGTGGAGCAAACCTTCCCTCCATTTCTAACTACATATTCATAACAGGTATTCTCGACACCATTGTCGTGTCCAATTTTACTGGTGAAGAAAAAAAATGACATAAAACCAGGATATTTGTCCTAAATAGTTACAACTTCATATTTTCCTTTCTCAAAAATATTTAAAACTAAACATAACTGAAAAAAAAGAATTAAAAGATCAGCATAACACAACTGCAAGTGTATTACTATAATAATACTTGGAGAATACTTCAAAAACAATTCTGTTTCAACAACCAGAAAGAATGATAATCATTACACATTAATATATTACAATAGCAGGCTTTCAGCCTCAAGGTAACCTAAATTCCTCCTGCTTCACTGTCCCGGTTTGACTTTGAGGTATATAACATTCACCTCTCATACTTGTTTTGCCTCCTCCTGGAGTTGAGATGAATATTCTGTGCAGTTTAAAATGAAGACAAATGAAGTTCAAAAAGAGACACCACAATCAAAAACGGTTTTCTCTTAGACACAATGTAAGTAAAAAAGAGATAGTCCAGACTAATACAATTTAGAGAGAACATTTCTGACATGTGAAGGATTTGTTGCATCCCTTGAAATCTAAAAAAATCAAAAGAACTGAAACTTTTTGTTAAGTACTTATTTAGTGGGTCAACATCATTATGTAACAGGATACTCCCTGCACTCACTGTGCACCAGTTTATGTTTCCGGATGAGAAGAAAATTAACACACACTTACACAAACAAAAAATGTGTTCAAATCCATTCCTCTTCAAATTCTGAGCAGGAACGGCAGAAACACTAGGAATAGACAGGTGTGTGAGTGGACTCCCATTGCGCCGCCGCTGCCATCTTGAACTGCTCTCGGTCCTGACAGGGAGAAGAAAACATTCAGGTAAGATTCCCCATGGAAGTTCTCTTTTCCTATTTGTTATCTACTGGAGAGTAATTTGGAGTGCTTCAGCATGGCATGGAGAACCTTGTAAAGCAACACAGCAAAGCTGTGGTTTAGTGAGGCAGAAGGTGAGTTATTTAGTGCTGCTGCTAGCACTTGGTATTTATTAGGATAGCATCCAAATGGCATCCTGTGCAGCACTAAGGATTATCACTGATCATTGCTTAAAGAAAGTAATTCTATCTATGACAAGGCCATTCTTTGTTCTGAGAACTGTTTAATTAAAATGAAGATTCCACCTACAGGTTTGCTTTGGTCAGTTGTAACTGGGAGTCATCGGAACGATGAGTCGGTTAAGATTAGCATTACATCCGACTGCGGTGATATATATTATATAAAGTACTTGTAAGTTTCTTCCAGCAGACTCCTATTTTCAACAACTAAGTAACTAAAAAAGTTTGAGTAATTTATACACTTGTATTCCTCACTCTTTAATGAACATGTATTATAGTGTTTATACACCTAAAAAAACACAATAGACTTTCCTCCTGCTGTTTTCAGGGATGAGGCAAGATTTATCTAAACGGATGCGTCGTATGATGATTGAGGACACATTAAAAAGAATTCTTTTGAAGCTTGTAACACAATGACTACTCATTTCCCTAGAATTTCCATGAGTTCACCACAGTTTCCTTTGGGGCATCTATCCAATTACCCTGCCACAGTGGATTATCCGTAATCCTGCATATGGTTAATTACAATAACGACGTTATTCATAGTCAAAATTAGATCCATTAATACAATTATGTTGTGTTAATGGAGTGGGTCTGCTTACAAAAGCTGCAACAACAAGGACACATGAAGAGACATGATGGTTGAGGTGGTTATCGCCATATGCTTTTTCTAATAACACACAAGGCTCATCCAGTTATCTACAATACACAAACATTTCCAGTACGGTTCTGTAACTTTCTCAAATTTCTGTATTGGACGTTCACATGAAAATAATAACTGAAGGCAAAAGCAATCGCAGAAGCACAAATGATGTTAATGAAAAATGACGAGTACTTACATTAGAAAGAAGAGCATGCAAAAACCAAAATGAAGCCGTGTCACACATTGAAGCGGTTAGGGTTGCAAAGGAGAAGATGAAACACAATTAGCAAAACGGGCTGCATGGCCATTTTCACAAAGGTTCATGTGACATCGATATGGTGGTTTGCTTTGCCATTCCTGCTGCCTGCCACTGGTTCACTTTAACATGTCAATTCATGACGAGATCAGATAGTTGTTAAACAGTTCAATGCTCAACAGACACTGTGTATTTACTTTGTGAAAATGGCGGTTGTTCATGTGCCAGCACGCAGTTAATACTTTCCATCCAAAACAGTCGAAGTGCATGCTCGTGCAGAATACTAACCTTGCAATAGCGTTGAGCTAGTGGGTTCAATTACGACTACACCAGGGAAACAAATGGAACAGAGCAACATATTGGAAACAGAGCGGGGACAAATCATTCACAGCACTTGTGAAAAGCATGAAAAGTAGACTGCTGAATAGACTTTTAACATTGTGGCTGCACAGTGGCATACTACAGTGTTCAAACTGGTAATGGTGCCAACAGCCATTCCTCAGTTCAGGAGAATTTACCCAATTCAGTTTATTTTTGTATAGCCCAAAATCACAAAACGCATATTTTCCTCAGAGGGCTTTATAACCTGAACAAATACAACAGCCTCTAACATTGTAAATCTACATTATTTTAATGATGATAATCACTCAATGTCGATAGTCATAATCCTGATTCCCTATTGTAGCAACAAATTAGCTGAAACACTGTACACACACACACTTAGGAGCGTCCACAGGCCCGAGGGAAGCCTCTTTTTCTAAAGATGTCTTGTACTTTAAGGCTCCTCACTCTATTTGTGGGATATTTGGCACCTGGTGCGTGAGAGGGATCAGCATTGTCGCTGACGGAATGAGCAGCCAGGGATCTCTTGATTGTTTAGTGAGAGCATGCTGTCTGCCTGGCTGAGCAAGAAAAGGAGTCTAATGCTCCCAAAACATTTTAGGTTTTGCAGAATTAATATAGAATTGCATCAAGTTTTCTTAATACATTAAAGGGTGGTTTATACTTCCTCTGATTGATTTGTATTTATTATGTGATGGCCAACACGTGAATGCATCCCTTCTCTTTTTCAGTAATGATAGGAGAATATTTATTTTTTATATAACACTAAATGTAAAAGCTTTAAGGAAATGGATGGTGGATTAATCAAACTGATAAATGCTTAAAAAAAAGGGGGATTTTTTAACTTATGCTTCCCTTTATGTAGTACCATAAATGTACCATATTTCTGTACTCACCATACATGAGAAAGCTTGTGTTCGCGCTGCCAAGTTTGTTGAGTGCGACGCAAGTGTAGTTTCCATAATCTTCGTCGGACACGTTAAAAAACGTCAGCTTCGACAGTGATCCAGAATTCACGATCTCGAAGCCATCGAGGCCAATCAGGATCCTAAATGTGAGGAAGAACACAGTAACTAACCACGGGCACTTGAAAGGTTTTGTTTGTTTTTTTCAAAGTTACTCATCCAATTACAAATGGGTCTGAGTGAATTAATGACCAAGGAGCAGTTTGCAGGCTGAATGATTGACTGCATATCAATGACCGTCAATAACTTTGAAAACTGACAAATACTCACACGTCTTCCATTTGTAAATTAAAATGTAAAGCTAATTACCTTCTGTCATCTTTGTACCACTCAAAGTCTGCCTCAGGCACGGCATCGGCCTCACACTCCAGCTCTCCTCTCTGGCCCGGAGTGACCCCGACGTCTCTGCCCTCCGAAACAGCGGGAGCATCTGTGAGCAACAACGAGAGCACCGCGATCAGGGTCGAAGGGAAAGAAGAGGGTTGGTGGCCGTCTCTCCTCTAAGCCCTTTCCTCGAAGTGTTTTTATTTCTAAAGTAAGTACATTTTTTTAAAGTATATTTCACTTCCACTTAACAGTTGCATTGCATGTTGTAGTCATATTTTCAAGTTTCTTCAAAATTTTAAATCAAGTTGGGAAGAGTGCAAACCGGTGTTTATATGTAAGAACATATAAGTGCAAACAACATATTGTTTGTACCTTGAAAAACTCAAAGACTTGTTCACATAATTGGGATGGTGGTTTTCCAAGTATCCTTTTTAATTTAGCTTTCAGCTGCCAGAATCTTAAGACACACTGGGTTCTCTCTTCCTGACCGACCATAGTGCTTGTAAAGCCCAGGGACGAATATGCCTCCTTCTACTTTTTAGCTTTTACCTTTTTTGGGCCATTGTTGAGGAAATCCGATGGCAACGTGACCAACGTTGCCATCGGATTTGCGCTTGCTACCAGTCAAAATCTGTCGATCTTTGTATAATGCTTGTTTCCTTTCCTATATTTTGCTGCCTTTCTGATGCTGCACGTCCACCTCTTCCCCTCGCTCTCTCTCTGCATCTTTGCTTTGTTAGTCCGCTGGTACCCTGAGCCGCTCTGCTGGGTGTGGTTCGAACACAGCGCATGTAAAGTTCTTATGTTGGTTTTGCTTTCTTTTTTTTTGTATCCCTTTTAACCATTGTAGCTGTGTGGTAGGTTTGGTGATTAAGCCGCAGGTCCCCTAACGGCCCACCGCCCCCAGTTTGGGAACCACTGATCTACGGCATGACCACGGGTGAACAGGAAGTAGGAGTATTTCTCACACTGCGTGATGTGTGATGGAATGAACAGGTCAGGGTTTCCTTTGTACATTCCATTCTGTGTGTCCTGCGGCCGAGAAGCTTAACATTATCTGCCAGATTTTATTGTGGATGTTTGAGGAAAACGTTGTCGCTCATCATTTGATCTGGACTCGCCTTGGTAAATGGTCTCTGAGCCAAAACAATGGTGATTATGCGGCCAAGTCTTAACTGTCAAGTCATCTGCCAATGTTTTTTATATTTAATGGCTTCTATCAGTGGCAGATTTTGATGCAATTAAATCAAGACTTTTCTGGGGCTGCTGTTATGTCCTCAAAACAGATTTTTCAGTTTTCTATCAAATTAGCAAACTAAAGAAGCACATTATTATAATTGAATAATTGTAATAAGTTGACATTTTTGCTGGAAAAAAAAAATATATATATCAACATTGTTGTGAATAAATGGTCTTAACTGCACACTACTAAACATATCTATAAAGCACTCAAATATAGATAACTACATACTTTTTTATGTGTTCAGAAAGTACATTTGATTTAGTGTAGCAATACTTGGAACAAGAATAGTAAAACTGAATCAAGCCTTCTCTCGGTTCACTTCGGGTTAGGGGCAAAAAACAAATTGAGTCAATAATAAAAAAATGTAATTCTAAGAGTCAGATAATAATAATAATGTTATGAAATAAAGAAAAGTAGCACTGACTTATTAAAAAGCTATTAAAAAAGCTTGAACCTGGAAAATTCAGCACTCTTGTTTTCTCATAAATTGTCCATGATGACATGATTATATATTTTTATATATTTTTTATATTTTTATATATTTTTTTTCTGCCGCAAAGCTGATTGATGAATTTAATAATTAGCACTGTTCATTCAAACACAAAATATTTAAATCCTTGAACCAAGCAGTGGACTCACAGTTGACGGTGATGTCTACGGTCTGGACGTCTGTGTCAATATCGTTGACTGCTGTGCATTCATACGTCCCTGCTCTCCGCCTGGAGATAGAGGGGATTTCCAGGAACTCATCCTCTGATGCCAGGTCTCCTATGAAAGGGGATGTTGAGATTGAGATTTAACGTGACAAATGAACTACTGTGACCATAGTTTTCCCACCCAGTAGAATTCATCACAAAGAAGCTGTTGATGATTCAAAATAACACAGTTTCAAGTTAAAGATTTATAGGTTAATGCATTGCATTAGACATTATTCTGTAAAAAAGAAAAAATGTAAATTTAACTCAAACGCTGAAATCAAAGCTCTAAGTTCAGAGGGGGCCGCGGGAGCGCCGACAGATCGTGTTAATTCCTGTAGTGCACTGATGCAATGTGACAGCTAAACTCAGACAGCTACACGTGCTTCAAAACTTAAATCATGATGGGTACAGTTCTGTGTCTCCTGCTTCTGCTGTCTTTTGACATTTTATCTTGAGCCTATTGACATGTTTCAGAGGAAGTTACGACACTTGCTCATTAGTGCTTTGTTCAGCCCCAACTCATCATCCAGTCTCTCGCAACCTTCATATTTGGCTTCTTTTTGGTTTCTCTCATGAAAGCGAGCACTTCAGGACTGCTTATGTGATGTGACAATACGAATGGATAGGACAGCGCTGATATTTCTTTTTCCTGTAGCAATTTGACACCCTTGACAGAGACACTTAATACAGCGCTCAACGTAAAGAACAAAAGACGTAATGGCTTTGGGGCCTCCTCCAGGGACGTAGACAGGTGACAGTAATAAATTGCACATGGATTCACTTTGCTGCATTGAGGCACATTACAGAATTCCACCTGGGAAGGTTGTTATGGAGAGAGGTTCTCATGGGCTCGCCGATCACCTGATGAGGAGTACCTGGGAGGACTCCATCTCTGCTTTCCCTCAAACGATGAGTCTACCTTGTGTCAAAGGAGACCGCAATGTCACTTAAGCCAAATGGTGGAATCCTCTGAGGATGGTTAATCAGGACAAGGCTGCCAGCTGAATCAAGCTCTCAAAGTCCACACATCAAGCAACAATTTTACGGCGGGTGGTTTCACGTCAGCCGCTGTCAATCCAGACTGGCACATGAGAACAACGTTTCTCAAAGAAATACATTAACCAAACAACCGGTAAACACAGCTGTAAATAATACTAACAATACAATACAATCCTTACCACATGCCTTCTATTAGGTTTACTTATAGAGGACAATAAAATGTAAAGAGTCCTTGTTGTAAACGAACAACAAATTGGTTGAAAGAATTAATTGAAAGAATTAAAACTAAATCACAATCCTGTAAACATCTATGGGCTGAATTAAATGATAAGGCTTTGCATATGATTTAATGCTCACTTATACTTTCTTACGTATTATATTGTGCATTGGTGTATAATTATTTATAAATCAATTTTGGAGGATTGGAGGTGTAAATGTTTTGTATATATTTGATTTTCTAAATTGATATGAACGTAGGAAAAAGGTAAATATTGTATTGTGTTTGATGTCTGAATACAAAAACTACCAGTAATGATAATAATAGTGTGCCTGTTTCTGCAGCTGTAATCATTACTCGTTCAAAGCCTTGTTTGTTGCACAGCTCAGAAAGTGCCGTACTAAAGAAATTACTTGTTCACACCTCTAAATCTTTGAGGAAAACAAGTTGAGCAGCTGGGTGAGACCGAAGGTAATACATTCAATGAGCGAGTTGTTTCTTTAAAATGTCATCTCCTAACAGGAATTATAGAAGAAAATGTGTTTTTACTGTCCAGCAGGTAATATTTTTGTACATTAGCTTGCGATTACTAATAAAATCTGCATTTTGCTGTTCATGATAGCCGCAAACGTAGACATCAATCAATGTTCAGGTGGGATGCATTTTGGGTCTGGTTTCAGGGTAGATTAACCTCCTGCGGTCCACATAATGTTGAAGTTGTATAAATCTAAAGAATTATGCCCTCTGAGCCAAACATTTACATTTCAAAATAAATATTCAAAAAAATTAATTTAAATAAACTAGACAAAGAGTGACAATTAGACATTGTCTTATCATTATCCACCGTACACTCAGCATTCTTCTCAAATGTATTTTCAAACCAGTAAATCGGCCTATTTCTGTCATTACTCCCGTATCATGTTAGCAGTCAGTTCATTATGTTTTCTCCTGAGGCCACTATGTACTAGATTATCTATCATTAACATACCGTCTTTCTTTTACACACAATGCTCCTCCACCTCCATCAGCCTACAGGCTCTCGGCTTGCAAATCATCAAAGGTTGCAACCCTCCAAATCCATCATGTCATTCATGTAAACTCGCCTCCACCATCGCTCATTCAAGTGTGGTTGCAAATGATCTTGCATTATAAAGAAGTACAGTTAGGTATTAGCCTCTTCAATTAGTCTGCCCAGAAACCATTGAAAACAAGCGGTCCATTGTGCCAAAAGATGATGTCAGAGGTAGAACAAATCTCAGCAGAAACAAAGAATTGGACATTTACCCTCGACGCAGCATTAGCCCAGCTCTGAAAATACACATATGCATCCAAATCAAATATGATGTGGGTCTATGTGTTTACAAAGAACAACATTATTTAAAAGACTGTTAATACATGTATTTGACTGCTTCTTCAAGTGGCCAGTCAGTGTAGAATCGAGCCCCTTTTCTAAAGTTGCAGTCTGTGTCAGGGAGGACTGCTGGCTTTGTGACCAAGTAATTAGTGAGATGGTACTGTCATCAAGGTGACATGGCAGGAGAAGGTGGTGGGGAGAAGAAAGCAGAAAAGACCCACAAAGTCTCAGGAGAGGCCCGCAGAAGATAATGTACCCTTTCTGTGTCCCTCAGATGCCAACCTCAAACTCAAGGGCAGGGAAAAAATGGGGTAGGAATAGAAAGAGATATTTGTCTGCAGGGCAAGGGGAACAACATTGAATGGAGGAGGCAGAATAGGAGAGCAGATGCTTGAGGGATTTAGCCCTTTAAGGAACAAGGGGATATGTTGAGGCAGTATTTAAATTGATGAATCCAAGCACAAGGAGGGAAATAAACAAAAGCAGGATGGCAGACAGTAGAGCCCTTATAACCCAAAGAGAGTGGGGATAGTGTTGTCTTGAGGGAAAGGATGTCAGTGTAAAATGAACGGGAAAGGAAATAATTTGTTACTAGACAAACAGTGAAAAATAAGGTTAATTTAAACAATATCTGCAAAGACAATGACAGAGCGACCGAATGCTGCAGCTTTGCTGCTCCAGTTTTACACTGGGACTCCTTTGCTGCTGCCGCTGTGCGAGGTGAATATAAAGATACTAATTTTGTCACTGATTATCAGCCTTTGGCATATGGGATTTCTTAAAGTGCCTTTGATGCATCATCCCCTTTGAAGGAAACAAATATAAAAGGGGTGAATCATACAAATATAGTAGCTCGGGGTTCCATGAATTACTGAGATGCAATAAGGCAGCTTTACTTCTATTGAAGAGGTTTGCCAGCGAAGATAATCTATTGTGGCAGTACGGTTTAGATTTGACCCGTCAATAGAATACATATTTTGGAGCATGCAAAGAAAAATAAAAACCGTGGCTGCAACTAATCTCTCAGACCACAAGTCCTCTTGCATCTCAGTTAGTCTATAGGACAAGCAGCTGTGTAAGGGAGAGATACATATTTTTCATATCTTTCACTCACATGCTGTAAGTAAATGTGAAAGGGTGAATCTGTTTCGGTACTGCACATTACGTTAAAGGGAAAGAAAAAACCTAAAAGCAAAGTGGATCCATGTGGAGTTGATGTAATTGAAAGAATTACAATTCTATAGTAAAGAAGATAAATATAATTCACAATATAAGTTGTATTTGCATTCAATGTATTTTTTGTGGGGATGTCTTTTGTGCTTCGAGATGGCAGGTGAAAAGTACTGTTCTAGGTCCAATAGAAAAAGGGGATATGTTGAGGCAGTATTTAAATTCATCCACAGCATCATGAATTTGAACCAACATATTTAAATTTTAAAAATTTCCTGAAACAATTACTGAACAGATTACTTATATGTTGGTATTATGCTTGATATCAGCAGTCCCGCAGCATGTACCATTAGAGAAAGCACAATAGTTCCCCATTAAATCTGTATTAAGGGTGCAGTAAATGTTGGAATTGGGCTACTTTTAAAAAGTGTCACAGCGGGTGGAATTTTTATTGTCCATTGTCGGATGGGATCTATTTTGCATTCAAATGAAATGAATATTATCTTTTGAATTAAAATCTACTTTTAAAATGAAAATGAAAACGATGAATTAGCTGAAATACAATGAAAAGAAATACAGACACCACATTCTTAATCTATTTACACTTTTTATTTAAATATAGTGAAGCAACATCAGCTGTTTCGGTTTAAATCAGCTATTGCCTTGACCACAATATCATATGTTACTATTACCATTAAATCAATACAAAACAATACATTAATGTTGTCCAAAGGAGAGAAACGGTTAATTTAAGCATCAGTGAAATGTTCTGCATGTTCACAAAGCTATATTTTATTCATCAAAATATACTGTATTTTAATTACAAGAGGCCATTATCGAACCTATTTGAAATAAATAGGGCTGTCAATAGATTAACTAATTAATCGCACATTATGAAATTCATTCATGTCAATTAATGAATGTTGTTTTTAATGGATGTTTGTTTTTCACCTAAAGACAAAGACTAAATCTTAAAAATAATGAGTAATCACTTTAGTAAGCGTGTATTTTAGACACTGTTGTTTAAACACAAAACTACACACCACCGATCATCTTGGAGGCACAGTGGTGGTCCTCTGCAGACTGCAGCCGCCCTCACCCCCCCGACCGTATCGTCCGTGCCACCCCCCCAATACCCCAAAAGCTTGATGTAACGGATCATTAATGTCGGCAACATTAATGTGGTATCCTGATATTTCGGGTGTGATATTTACCTGCATTACCACTCCACACCACAAGAGGGTTAGTTGACCTTCACGGTCATTAGGCATGTCAGTTGTTAGATACTGTTCAGAAGAAGAATAACCCGCTGTGAAAATGTCCTGTCACG